ACATGACACACTAAGAGCAAAATAATAAAAATGATGCCTTATGACACCTAAACATTACACCATTGTAATAGGATTAAGACACAAGAATTTGAAAAAACACTGTGTAGATTTACTGTGCCATAAAAATCTACTGTGAAGGATAATTATACTAGTTATTTTTTAGAAGCAATTTGTTGTTATAACCACTCATACCTCAGCCAATTCGCTAACTGGACATATTTCATTCATGCAACCTTCTGGCTAGGGAATATAGTTATTGGCAATCTGATTCATGGGATTGGCAGCCAGGGAATCTGGATTGCTAGTTTCACAGACAATATTGTAATATAGGCCAATCAAGTTAGGTTTTTACTCATCACAAGTGTATAGACGGGTTTGACAGTTGAAATAAGTAGTATGAGATATTACAAAAAGACTCTCATCTAGGGATTCATGAATTTTTTAGTGGAAATATTTTTAAATAAACAATTAAAATGTCAATATCATTATTTTGCTCATAACTTATAAACTTGTCTATTTAGAGATTTGACGTCTACAGACAAGTTGTTGAGAAAAAAAAATACACAAAATGAGATATACTAAATTAAAATCGGTTAATAAACAAAAAAGTTATTGCATAATAACCAAGCAAAACCACTGTTTTTGATTATTGTTAATTACTCTTTTATTAATCAATAAAATTTATTTAAATGTATCTGAACTTAAAGATCTCATCGTGTTCTAAGTGTGTGCGAAAAATAGGCTAGATCCGTCAAATAGTTTTTGCACAATTTAATTTGTTTATAAGATTTTTTGAAAAATGCACAAATTTCTAAGGCCGGTCCAGATAATTTGACTCAATGGATCTTAAAAATCCGGGGCTTATTTTCTTTGTTGAGACATATATTAATATCCTATGGAAAAAAAAGTTAAAAAAAATTACGTTTATGTACACAAAATGATTTAACAATAAATAGCACTTTTTAAGCTTATAAACATTTACAATAACTCCGTACTATTTAGTTTAAATTAAATGGCAATAAAATATTCGGAAAGCTGGTTAAAAAACACAACTTAAAAAAAAAGAAAAAGGTCCTGCGACCATTAGGAGCCGAGTTAGTCCTTTTTTTTTTTAAATCACTGTTACGTCAATTAACAACATTAAGGGCTGAAATTAACCAATCTTTTAGAAGAAAAGTCAAAGTTTTTAACAGAATATTTAGCAAACAAAATAATTGAAAATTGATTAAACAGGAGGACAGGAGTGTTGTAAACCAAGAGTACTTTGCGTTCCGACTCAAATGGAAGCAGTGGGGATTGCCGATTGCACTCAAGCCGCGTTCTAAAAAAAGTCGAGCGTCGAGCGCACGTCGAAAGCGGTACAACTCATTTTCCTGCGACTATACAACCGGTTTGTTGTATTGAAATAATTAGTGTTTTGTTTTATTTAATAATTGTTACAAATAATTAATGGTACGTAAAATTCATCTGAATATTAAAAAAAACTACCTGTTGTGATATATATTAATATAAACACATGGTTGTACCACGTTGTCTGAATAATATACGGTTAACTTTGAATATAATATTATTTTACTATTATAATGTACTAATATTAATGAAATTATTAATGAAGAAGAAAACGATACAACAGATGAACAAGAGATAATTGATGAAATGTATTTAACTGGGTTTGATGAGAATAGCGACAATGAAAATGAAATGATTTATGAAAGTTATAATACAAGTGAAATTGAAGATGAAAGTGAAGATGAATGTTTACATAGTAGTAGCAGTGACGATATAGAAATTAAGCGTAGAAAATTACAGTAAATTAAATTATTTTAAAAAATCACTACACAAAATTTCAACTTCTGTAATAACATAAAATTAATTTATTATTTCATTAATAAATTTTTAGTAAACATTATTCAAAATGTTCATTTACTTATAACAGTTATTTAATATCCTCATATTTGAAATAAATAAATAGAAAAATAACAATAAAAAGACGACTCAAGAAAAAGTTTGTACATTCCGTAGTCATTAGCTGCTTTGTTTTGAATAATTTTGCAATGAAAGTACGTTAAATGTTATTATTTTAACGTTGTACCCCAGTTTAAAAAAAAAAAAAGAACAAATTTGGTCCACTAGAACCCGAGATATGTCATTTTTTTCCAAGCAATCTATTTTGAAACCGTGCCCTCGACTTTTTTGGAGAGCGCGGCTTGTGTGCAATCGGCAATCCCCACTCCTTCCATTCTAGTCGGAACGCAAAGTACCTACTCTTCGTTTACAACACTCCTGTTTAAACAATTTTCAATTATTTTTTTTGCTAAACATTTTGAGAATAACTTTGACTTTTCTTCTAAAAGATTGGTTAATTTCAGCCCTTAATGTTGTTAATTGACGTAACAGTGATTTTTTAAAGAAAAAGGACTAACTCGGCTCCTAATAGTCGCAGGACCTTTTTTTTTTTAAAGTTGTTGTTTTTTAAACCCGTCTTCCGAATATTTTATTGCCATTTAATTTAAACTAAATAGTACGGAGTTATTGTAAATGTTTATAAACTTAAAATGTGCTATTTATTAATAAATCATTTTGTGTACATAAACGTATTTTTTTTTAAATTTTTTTTCCACAGGATAATAATATATGTCTCATCGAAGAAAATAAGCCCCGGATTATTAAGATCCATTTAGTCAAATTATCTGGACCGGCCTTAAAAATTTGTGCATTTTTCAAAAAATCTTATAAACAAATTAAATTGTGCAAAAACTATTTGACGAATCTAGCCTATTTTTCGCACACACTTCGAACACGATGAGATCTTTAAGTTCAGATACATTTAAATAAATTTTATTGATTACTAAAAGAGTTATTAACAATAATCAAAAACAGCCGTTTTACTTGGTTATTATGCAATAACTTTTTTGTTTATTAACCGATTTTAATTTAGTATATCTCATTTTGTGTATTTTTTCTTTCTCAACAACTCGTCTGTGGACGTCAAATCTCTAAATAGACAAGTTTATAAGTTATGAGCAAAATAATGATATTGACGTATTAATTGTTTATTTAAAAATAGTTCCACTAAAAAATTCATGAATCCCTAGATGAGAGTCTTTTTGTAATATCTCATACTATCCATTTCAACTGTCAAACCCGTCTATACAGTTGTGACGAAAAAACGCTTATTTTCTACTAACTTGACTCGTCTAATAGTGACTAGGCACAAACATCCCAGCACTGTTGCAGATCAGATGCCATATGGCATCTAAAACTAAACTAGTGGACTTAATAGTCTTAATAGACTCAACTCAACACTAATAAGACGAAGCTTACTGGAATGAGTCAGTTAAAATTATTTGTGGAGGAACTAGAAAGAGCTAAGAAGATCAAGTATCTAAAGATAACCCTGGATGCCAAACTCAATTGGAACACTCATATTAACAACATATAGAAGAGGGCTACATGATTCTTCTGGAACTACAGACAAGATGTATGTTAAACCTGGGGGCTGAAACCATAGGTAATCTGTTGGTTATACACATTAGTGATATGACCAACAGTTACAAATGGTTTAGTACTTTGATGTAAAAGGACAGTACAAAGACAAGCATATCTTAATATAACTGGAGCCTTGAATAGTACAGAAACAACATCTTTAGAAGCTAGCACAGGTCTCCCCCACATGTCAGAGGTAACCTTATAACCATCCTGAGGCTTAAATAACTTGTGTTCCAGACTGAGGCTGTTGCTTTGGAGGCCTGAAATGATGAAATCCTGAATGAAGAACACAAAGAAAAGAGACATTTATACAAACAGCCAAGTGGGTATTCTAGCTGTAACAAACCCACTCTTACGTACCTTTGATTACTGAATAACACTTTGAGGGTTTTAACCTCCATCACAAAGCCTCTCCATTTCTTTCTGTAGATATTTTAGATCACAGAATGTACATAAAAATAATTATATACCAAATAAAAACGTTAAGTAGCTAAACTGGAAGGGTTACTATTGGAAGGGGGACCTCACGGTGATTGTAATGTAGGACAATCATTAATATAAAGGTTTGATAAACTCAACTAGCTCAAAATCTGAAAATATGTGAATTGCTGGATCTCTGTTCATCCTTTCGACTTACATAAGACAAACACTATAATGATGACTACTTCAAATTACAGTTGGGATACCTATATTTTTGAACTTTGATAAAGTAAAACTCAAGTATCGAGCACAGTTTAATTAATTTAATCTTGCCCAAGTACTTTCGCTCCCTAGAGCATAATACAGATTGATTCTGTCTCTGGCTTCCGTACACAATGTAGCTTCACCTATTTTTAATAATTTTAATGTGTTTGTTCTTGTGTAGTGTAGTGTGATGTACCATTTTATGTTTATAACATTTTATTCTTGTCGGATAATTGACGAAATGCCCCCGAAGATGCTCTAGGGAGCGAAAGTACTTGGGCAAGATTAAATTAATTAAACTGTGCTCGATATTTGCCTTTTACTTGATCACAGTTCATTTATTCAAGCATTTAACCTTACATCAACCTATATTTTTAACTAAAATAATGTGGAAAAAGACCACCGGTAGCGAAAAATATTTATGTAGAGCCAAGAAACTAAGGGTTCCTCAGTGAATTAATATTTTGTAAATATGAAAATTTTGCCAAATACATAATACTCCTGGTAGAACCCATATCAGTTTCATTATTTAATCTTTAATACTGATACATATATTTGTAATTTTATTTATATTAAATATACCTACAAGGTGTAATTAAATCTTAAGTATTTTTATTGATTCAACAAAAAAGTTAATTTGATCAGGCACATGAATAAATGTTAATTTAATTTTCGTTTTTAATATCGATTATCTCACATCATACATAAATACTTAAGTGAAATCCTTATTATTATTATAAAAAATCGTATTAGTAAAAAATACATAAAAACATTAACTATTTTAAGATTTATTTATAATTAAATAGAATAGGTAAAATAATACTTACCGCACAAAATCGCAATTAACTGTATAAATACTGCATATTAAGAATAAAAGCAGATAATTCCGCATTTTTACTTTTCTTTGTATCTACTAAATACAGAAATATCTGCTAAACCGGTATCTTTATTTCTTACGACACAAACAAACAAATCGGGCTCTGAGAAACTGAGAATTCCGAAAGACAAGACAGTGACTAGACAAATGCAATTCAAAGTCGGTCGGGTCGGGTCGGGTATGATAAATCATCTTGCTCTGCTATTGGTTAATTTAAATCGAATGAGAAGATGAGTGCCAACTGCTTTTTCGATTACTAATTCCATTTTATTGTAGCAAAAATATATTTCAAAAGTTTTCTACATATAAAATAAAAAAAAATTGATAAATAGTTAAAATAACTTTTACTGTATCAAACATTTTTATATTTATATAGTCATAAAGATTTTTAAAGCTGAATTCTTTATACATCATCTGTGATGTTGCGCAGAAATAGTTGGCGACACTGTTCTTTATTCTTCTTGACATCTTGACGTTTGGTGTGGCCTGTGGTTTAGTGTTGCACGTGAAAATTTTATATTTTATAATTTTGAATTAAAGTAATATTTCCTAACTTTCCACTCACAAAATGATGGTAAGTACGATAAATATTGATATTACAACATAAAATATACTTGCACTTTTTTATTTAAGTAAATAAGTCAACTTTAGTCGTGTCGGCATTGCTTGATTTTTTTAATTTTTCTTTTGTAGCAACCACAAATATTACTCTTAAAAGAGGGAACTGACTCATCACAAGGCAAACCTCAGTTAATATCAAACATAAATGCCTGCCAGAATGTGACGGATGCTGTAAGAACAACACTAGGGCCCAGAGGTATGGACAAGCTCATAGTACAGAGGCAAGGCAATGCTACTATATCAAACGACGGGGCAACTATTTTGAAATTATTGGATATCGTTCACCCTGCTGCGAAAACTTTGGTCGATATTGCTAAGTCACAAGATGCAGAGGTTGGGGATGGAACAACAAGTGTTGTGTTGTTAGCAGGAGAGTTTTTAAAACAAATAAAGCCTTATGTTGATGAGGGTGTTCATCCAAGAATAATAATAAAAGCAGTCAGAAGATCGTTCCAAATTTGTCTCGAGAAAATAAGTGAAATATCTGTTAAAATCAATAAATCAAATGCTGATGAATTTAGATCTCTATTAGAAAAGTGTGCTGCAACAGCAATGAGCTCGAAATTAATTAATCAACAAAGATCTTTCTTTTCCAAAATGGTTGTAGATGCTGTTCTATTGCTAGATGATTTACTACCTCTCAACATGATTGGTATCAAAAAGGTACAAGGTGGAGCTCTTGAGGAGTCACTTTTGGTAGCAGGTGTAGCATTCAAGAAAACTTTTTCTTATGCTGGATTTGAAATGCAACCCAAGGTATACAAAGATTGTAAAATAGCCCTGTTGAACATTGAATTGGAACTTAAAGCTGAAAGAGATAATGCAGAAGTAAGAGTAGATAATGTAAAAGAATATCAGAAAATTGTTGATGCAGAGTGGACAATTCTTTACAATAAACTTCAAAAAATTTATGAGTCTGGAGCTAATGTTGTTTTGTCGAAATTACCCATAGGAGATGTTGCAACTCAATACTTTGCTGACAGGTAAGACTTTTTTCCTAAGGTGAGAAAATTAATCCTTTATATTCTCTATTATAAAGTTAATATATGTTGAGAGTTAAATTAATTTAATTTTTGTAACATGTGATGAACAAAACAAAATTGATTTAAAATATATAAATATATAGGTTTTTCTTCTTTTTCTCAGTTCAGGTGAGATACTTTTACCCCTGTAAGAAACCATCCCGATAGAGTCTTGCGCTTGTATCTGAAATAACCAACCCAAGATATCTCGTTTTCAACTATTTAGTAGGAATTTAAGCAATTTATTTTATTCTTTCGAGTTCTTCTTCTGCAGCACTACAGCCTATATTGAGCCTTGGTCTCCTTTATTTTTTTGGCTCCACCCTTGCTCACCTTTGGCTGATCTTCTCCATACAAGGACTCCTAAAAGGGCTTGTGCGTCGCTGTTTACTGTGTCTTTCCCATGCATACTGTCTGGCCCATTGCATATTTTGTATTCTAATGAAGTCTGACAGTGGTGTTTGCTTATAAAGTTGATAAAGCTTGTTGTTGTATCGACTTCCTTCAGAGGTCCTAGTATTCTCCTTAGTACTTTTCTTTCAAATGTGTCGAGTTTGCTTTTGGTTCTTTCCAGTTAGGCTTTTGGAATTTAAACAAATTTAGATGTAGTTGTTGTTATAAGTCCTGGCTGCGTAATATTAGACAATGGACAGGTCATCAGAAGAGAAATTTTCCAACCACAAATAAGTACTGTTTACTATACACTTATAATAAATATATACTGGTACATTACTCTTATATCTCTTAATTTTACAGTTAGCGTTATTTACTTCTATTATTATGAAAGGTCCTACATAGAGACTATCAAGCTTATTTTCTTCTCTTTAGAGCAGAACTAGGTCTTTTTTGTGCTTTAATAAAAATGTTTTTGCCCTATTGTGTGAGATCTTCTGGCAAATTTACTTTTCGATCATACAATTCAAAAGGTGGGTAGCCATGATATGCATTAGAGGTGCTGTTTTAGCAATATGTGAACAGTCTGCAACACTTGTTCACAGTGTTTCTTACTTTCCTAGATGAATGATCTTGTGTATTCCATTTAATGTCCTATGTAGTTTTTCACAACTCAATGTTGACTGGGAGTGGTATACCATTGAAAAATTGTGTGTAATTTTTAGCATTTTAGTTAATACTCATTCATTATTTCATTTTTGTATTCTGTGCCTTGATCTGTCCTAATTTGTTTAATGAGTCTATATGTTGTTATAAAATGATCAAAAATTCTACAAGCTATTGTCTTGGCTTCTTTATTATACACTGGAATACTTACTGAATTAGGCGAGATGAAGATGCAACAATGAAGACCAAAACTTAGGTATCAAGATAACATAGAGGATGATCTAAAATCCATCGGAGTTAAAGCATGGAGAAGAGTTACCAGAGACAGGGGCAAATGGAAGATTGTTCTGAAGAAGGCTTTGGCTCATCACGAGCTGTAATGCCACTGATGATGATGATACTATGTATTTTGTCAGTTCACAAAGCATGATGATACTATATCTATTGCCTTCATTACTTCTAAGGAATGGACATATTATGATAATATACACTATGATGATTTCGCATCACTTTTTCCTATATCTGCAACACCTGCAGAAGAAACATCAGGAACAAACAGTTCTGACAACCATTTATTCTTTTTTTTATTTCTTTCGTACTCAATAACTCATTTGTTTTTTGTTCATTTTTGGGTGTCTCTAATATCTAAAATTATGAATATAAAAAATAATATATTTCCACAGTAAAGCTAAATTTGTTATAAATATTCTAGGGATATGTTCTGTGCTGGTCGTGTTCAAGAAGATGATATGAAACGTACCCTGAAAGCATGTGGAGGTGCTGTAATGACCACCGTTAATGACATCAACGATTCTGTACTCGGTAAATGTGAGCTGTTTGAAGAAAAACAAATAGGAGGAGACAGATTTAACTTCTTCAAAGGCTGTCCCAATGCCAAAACATGTACTTTAATTTTACGTGGAGGAGCAGAACAATTTTTAGAAGAAACTGAAAGGTGAGTTTTTTTATAACATTCTATATAAATCTACTACAATTATGATCACTTAGATACAGTTAAAAGCATTGGTTTTCCTTTTGTTTACAGATCACTACATGATGCCATCATGATTGTTAGAAGGACTATTAAAAATGACGCAGTTGTAGCTGGTGGTGGTGCCATAGAGATGGAATTATCAAAAATTTTACGGGATCATTCTCGTACAATTGCCGGCAAAGAACAACTTCTGATTGGTGCAATAGCTAAGGCATTAGAGGTAAACTTTCTTTTTAATCTTATGTTTATGTTTACAATTATGTGTAATTCCATGAGTTCTTCTTTGCAATTATTTCTACAATATTTTGATTTTTCATCTTTTGTATCATTTTATAAAATTATATCATCGTTTAAATACTTTCCGCGAACCATTTTGACAAGTAACAAAATTAAATCGCTCAATTAACAAATGTCATGAATTGTTTTTTCAACACACACTTGATATTGTTCTGAAGCTATTTTCTTGTGGCATTGTAAATTAATTACTATTTAACTGGGAATAAGCCACAATTAAAGATAAAAATATGTTTATTGACGTTTCAATTTCCACTTCGGAAATCGTTCTCAAAATACAAACAGTAAATTAAACAAATTTTGTTCTTTGTTACATAGTGAAAAATTCTTCTAATAATTTAATTTTATCTGACTCATTTATATTGACAATTCAGACATACATTATGCTTTTTAAAGTAGACGACTTTAAAATGATATTGCCAATATTGTTGAATTGCGCTCATGGGACGACTTTACTTATAAGATAGTTTATTCAATTACATGAAATCAACTTTAACTTGAGAATATCCGTCAGAAAAAAATCATAGCATGTAATTCGTCTTTAAAAAGACAAACACATGACATGAGGACAGTAAAATTCTCCTGTTAGTGATTCCATAGTAAATTATGAGGAAAAAACCAGGAAAAAAACCTCATAATACTATCCCGACATTGTAAGCATTTGTTCGTGAATTTAGTTTACCTTCAACAAACATAAAAAAACATATAGAGGATACATCATTTATGTGTTTTAAATAATGTAACATATAAAACCAGAATTTTGATGTTTGTAGAAGGTAAACTAAATTCACGAACAAATACTTACAATGTCGGGATAGTATTATGAGGTTTTTTTTTCCTCATAATTTACTATGGAATCACTAACAGGAGAATTTTACTGTCATCATGTCATGTGTTTGCGATGATTTTTTTCTGACGGATATTCTCAAGTTAAAGTTGATTTCATGTAATCGAATGATCTTATAAGTAAAGTCGTCCCAGGAGCGCAACTCAACAATATTGGCAATATCATTTTAAAGTCGTCTACTTTAAAATGCATAATGTATGTCTGAATTGTCAATATAAATGAGTCAGATAAAATTAAATTATTAGAAGAATTTTTCACTATGTAACAAAAAACAAAATTTGTTTAATTTACTGTTTGTATTTTGAGAACGATTTCCGAAGTGGAAATTGAAACGTCAATAAATGTATTTTTATCTTTAATTGTGGCTTATTTCCAGTTAAATAGTAATTAACACACTTGATAATATAATTTTCAAAAAAAAATTATTCAAGAGATTTTATTGGATAAATAAATACTTACCACTGATTTGTGCGATGGTCTAATTAATTTGGGCCAGATATTAATTACACCTTTTTTTGTTTATTTTATAATTATATTATTTGAAAAAGTATTATGCAGCGTGAGTCATAAGGAACTGTACATACCCCTACCTTATATGGAGACTCCTATGGGAATAACAAATGACCGTTAAAAAGTGTCTGCTGCCATTGTTTAATAATATTCAGAGTGAGTTGTAAATTTTGACTGAAATTTCGATTCGTTATAACTTTTGAACAGTAAGCTGTATGTGTCATATATTTGTTTAAATGTTACACTGATGTCTGCTAATCAACTGATTTATTCAAACTACAAAAAATTTGTTTCATAGTCAAATTAAATTTAACTATGAATTAAAAGTTTAGCAAAGTGAACCATAGATGTAAAACAATGTAACATTTCTTGCAAAAATTAAATTTTTTTGAACAAAAATTTAATTATTCTTTAAAAACAAACCGAACATGATTTTTTTCAGTTTGGTTAATTCAAACTAGAAAAACGTTCACATCCGGTTTTAAAAAAAATAGTTTGTTCTGTTTATAGAAAAAATTTCACACTAGACGGTTTTTGAAAAATAATATTAGACAACCAGGCAAATACAATTACTGTAGCTTTTTATTTTAAATAAAAGTATTTAGCTATGGATGGAAACGACTATGGACGATGTTTTATATTATTCAAAACAACTTGTACCTTCTGAAATTCGTAAAATTTGCTACAAAAGAATTGTATTATTTAAAATGTAAAGCATGAACTGTTATAGTAATAATACTTAAAAATTAATCTTATTTTCAAAAAAAAAAACTTTTGAAAGATAAAAGAAAAATCAAGAAAACTAATTTTTTAAATCTGTGGTTCAGTCTTTTACTTTTAATTCATAGAAAAATTTGATTTTTTAATCAACAATGAAGTAATCGCGTGGGAAAAAAATAAATATGTCTTTTTTATTGCCTATTTTCCTTTTATAAAATAAAATTCTTGATTAGAGTTAGATTAAAGTTAGCGTGTTCAAAAACTTATGAAGGGTGAAATTTTTTCTCTGATCAAAACGAACTTATTATTAAAACCGGACCTGATTTTTTTCTTTTTTGAAACAGATCTGGTTTGTTTGTTGAAGAATAAGGTTAAAAACACATTTCTGTACCTTTTAAGAATTGCAAGGCAAAACACGTTGATAAAGATGTAAGTAATTAGAGAAATGGGGAATCTAAAATTGCATTCCACAACATATCTCCTCAACTAAGCAAAAATTCCTTGGCGATTTGGGTTTCTATTACTCATAAAGAAAGTATACTCTTTATGAGTACTAGAAACCAATTCGCCAAGGATTTTTGCTTAGTTGAGGAGATATGTTGTGGAATACAATTTTAGATTCCCCATTTCTCTAATTACATCTTTATCAACGTTTGTTTTGCCTTGCAATTCTTAGAAGGCACAGATTAAAGCAAAAATCTGAATTTGGTTTCGACAATTAAAAATCTTCAGGTTTAGAATTTCGTGATTTATTATCAGATGTCGATATTGCGTCTATACCGAAGCCATTTTAGTGTTGCTTCTATTATGACAGGCAGCGAATATACAGAGACACTATACGTGAAATCAAATCTTAACTGTCTTGCCTTTGATAAATTAAATGTTTGTTAAAAAAAATTAATTTTTGCGAGAAAAGATCCATTTTTTTAAATCGATGGTTCACTTTGCTAAACTTTTAATTCATAATCAAATTTAATTGTTTTAAATAAAGTCTAAGTAATTGTGTAAGGAAAAAAATAAATAGGGCATTTTATTTATCTATTTATCTAATTTATAAAATTCTTATTAGAGTTTTCTAAAACCATATACAGGGTGACATTTTTGCTTTAAACAAAAAACGAACTGCTTTTTTAAAGCCGGACCTGCTTTTTGTCTAGTTTGAATAATCAGTGGATTAGGTGGTAGTATAAGGTTTGACCAAAATATGAGACACATCGAACTTACCATTCAAAAGTTATGACGAATAGAAATTTCAGTCCAAATTCACAACTCACTCTGTATATTATTAAACAATGGGAGCAGAAACTTTTTAATGGTCATTTGTTATTCTCTATAGGGGCCTTGATATGAGGTAGGAGTATGTACAGTCCCTCATGATATACTCACCCTGTATATTGTTTATTAATGAGCAAAACCGTATAGTATCAAATATGATCTTAAACGCATCCGTTTAATTTATAATAATTAAATAAATTCTAATTCGGAAAGTATTGGTTCTGGTCCAATTCATATTACTCCAGTCATCAGAGACGAAAATTCCACTGAACCTCTAAAAATTCTACGAACAAGCTGAATTTTACCGAAAACATCAATTTTAGGACGCTAAAAACTTTACCAATTTTACCCCTAGTCTTTTCCCTAAAACCCTCCACTTAGAGGGGGGAAAAGGGGAAAAATTTATTTACCAAAAATCTGTACACCATAGAAAAAAAATTTCAAATAAAAAATTATCTAAGATAATTTTTAAAGACCGACCGAATGTGATTTTTTTGGCCGAAGCCTAAGCCGATGCCGAAGTTCGGCCAGAAGGATACCTTTGGCCGAAGCCGAAGGTGACTAAAAATATACCTATTACCTATTATATGTTAATAATTTAAATAATGTGCATTATATTTGTATTAACTGATAAGTGATAAACAAAAATATAAAATTATGAGATAAAAAAGTCAAATATTTATACATTATTTGGTAAAAGAAGCGATAATAAAAATAAATAACATTAAAAAACATTAAAGCAAGTGAGTATTTATGATTACAGGATCTGGTAGTTAATATTCGAAATCAAACATCCTAATATTATACGTAAGAAAAAGAAGCTTGTCAGCGTTTTCTCCCAACAAATTAGTTCTTCTGTCAGCGTATAGTTGCCCAGCAGAGCTGAATAACTGCTGGAATAAATGAAATATGTCGGCACTTCTTAAAAGCAAAGCCTCTCGTAAATACGAATCTAGGTAATCTGCATTGGGATCGTTGTCGTTATGAATTTCTTTTGTTGTATCTAGAACGGCCGTGACAAAAGTATCATGTGAATTCCAAAGACTATTGTTTTCTAGATCTTCTACATGTGTAGTTGTAGATGATGATGTTGAAGCGATAGCCATAGGAACTTTATTTGTATAACTAAACTTAGAGCTATCAGATTCACGTAGAAATTTTAAAATTCTTGCTTTACATGTAATTACTTCCTCGTCTGTCAAATATTTTGATTTAAAGCGAGGATCTAGAAGAGTCGCAATTGACAATTCTGGCAAATTTGTAATATTAGCGAATCTTTTAATTAATGATTCACGAAGTCGTAGCTTTAATAAACTTATCTCCTCAGAGTCCTGCTCTTTCGCAGAAACTTTACCATTTAGCATTTTTATTAGTGGGATAACCAATGATACACAAGCAGAATCGGCTGAAAGATCTAGCGTCGCTTGGTAAAAACAAGTTAAAACTGAAATTAAATTGTTGATCAATTCCCATTCTGTTGAACTGGAAACTTCAATACCACCACGTTCAGCCATATACAAATTTATTGCAACTTTCTGTTCGAATAGCCGCTCCAACATTAGATAAGTGCTATTCCATCTTGTTTCCACATCCTGAATTAACATATGCTGTGGCAAATTGCAAGTTTGTTGAAACTGCCTCAGGTACCTGCATGCTTGTTCACTCCTTTTAAAATGTCCCACAATTTTACGACATTTTTTAATTGTGTTGTCAATTAATTCCTGTTTTAATAAAGAATCATGAATTACAAGTTGTAATGAGTGAACCACACATCTTAGATATGTAAATTGTGTAATACGAATAGCCGCGACCATATTTGCTGCGTTATCAGTTACAGCTATATGAATTTTGTTTTCTATTTTAAAATTTTTAATTATTTCATTAAGTTTACTTGCAATAAACATACTAGTGTGGTCATCATTAAGCACACTAGCGCCTAATATAACTTTAAGACGTTTTGAACCATGAACAAAGTGAGCTGTAAAACTCAAAAGAGAACAGGTTTTAGCAGGATTGCTCCAAATATCTGACGTAAAGCTTATCCATTCGGCTTTAGAAACTAAATTTGATACTTTTTTCCAAACTGTGTCATAGGTAGCTGGCATTAAACTAGTTCTAAAAAACTTTTCCGTTTTTTTTCTTTATTTGGAAGTAACATTAGGATCTCCAAAATTTTAACGCTGAAAAGCTTCTCCTTCAACGATAGAGTATGGTAACAGGTCGACAATAATAAGATCCATGATACCCTTATCAATCCTAGATGATATCGGATGATCATCAGGCCATAGAGCAGGTGACTTAAGTTCCATTATTTGATGTAGGTTGGGCTGAAATGTCCTGGAAACTGGTTGTGTAACATCATGTGGAGTTTTCATATGTTCCAATTTTCGAACTTTTATTCCCATTTCAATGTCACAAAATGATTTCCCTTCTTCTGTATGGATTTTTTGTAGATGATTTTTAATGTTTGTAATAGTTTGTTTTTTAGATATTAAACTGCCAAGCGATAATGACTTTGAACATAGTTTGCATGCAGCTTTGTTGCCACTTTTTTCAAAATAATCCCAAATTGAATTTTTTATTGACATTATCTAAAAACGTTTGAATTTACTAAAATTATATTAAAATAAAAATTACAGACTTACCAAAAGTTATTTTTTTAAAGTAAATTATAATATATATATTTCACGGGTAAATAAGTACTATTAGCAAAGCTGCACCCACGAGAGAATAAACTTAAACTGTTGTAAAATATTTAATAATTGCATTCATAGTCGATGGTCGATGTTTTGCCATTTAGGTATCTATTCAAAACACCAGTAATCGTGAGTTTTAACAAATACAATAAAATTATTATCATAATTTTACTACGTGAGAAATATTCAAATGAAGATCTTTAAGACATCTTGGCCTATTGTTAAAATTTATATCCTACCTACTATTACCTGACCTGAAAGTTTGTAAAACGTTTTAGTTGAGGGTAGAAAATAGTGTGTAAATATTATTCAAATTATCAAAGACTCGCCGAAGCGTATTGTTCAGAGATTATTTCATTTCTATAGTCACCTTCGGCAAAACCTTCGGCTTTGTTTTGGCCGAAGCCGAATTTTGGCCGAAGGTTTAAATATTGGCCGAAGGTGGCCGAAGCCGATTAATCGGTCGGTCTCTAATAATTTTGAACAAACGTTTTGTCGATAGGACACTCTGATCAAAAGATATCGATCTTTTACCTTCGAGTAGATACAAATTTTATTTAACATTGATTCCGTATGCGGAGTTTACATTCAAAATCGCCGGTCCCTTCAAGCGTTGTTTGTGAAAGAACGGTTCATTCTACGCAAAAGTGCTAATAAATATTTTTGTTCAAAATTATTTCAGCTGCATTTTTTATTTGAAACATTTTTTCTACGACGTACAAATTCTTGGTAAACCGATTTTTTGCGTTTTTATCCGCGTACAAAGAGGGTTTTAGAGAGAAGCACGGTGGTTAGAGTGGTAAACTTTTTTGCATCTTTTTTGGGGTCCCAAAATTGATATTCTCGGCAAAATTCAGCTTGTTAGTATGATTTTTAGAAGTCAAATCTCCCTGACGACTGGACGATATGGCTCGTATAGTAAAAAGCTCATATGATTATCAATCGAACGAGATCTTAAAGCTAGAGCCACAGAAACATGTAAACATTCACATATTTTATATTTAAACATGTATCAATAACCCAATATTAAAACGTAATATTTGACGTTCATTTCTTATATTATACTTCGAATTTCAGGTCATCCCCAGACAATTATGCGATAATGCCGGATTTGACGCCACTAACATTCTTAATAAACTTCGACAGAAACATGCGCAGGGTCACTGCTGGTACGGTGTGGACATAAACAACGAAGACATTAGTGATAACTTCGAAGCCTGCGTATGGGAACCGGCCATCGTCAAAATTAACGCCCTGACGGCAGCCACGGAAGCAACGTGTTTGATTCTGTCTGTTGATGAAACGATAAAAAATCAAAAATCTGAGCAGCCACCTCAAATGGGAGGTCGTGGTATGGGAAGGCCCATGTAACTTTTTAAGGTCAAGAAATTGATCTTTTGTATAACCAGTATGCAGTGCACCTCACTAATTTATCTTCGTTTAATTTACTTGCTGTAATTTTTCTAATAAAGCTTTAAAAAAAGTAATGATTTTATAATGTAGTTTATAAACTTTAACTATTCCAAGAAGACATTAAGTTTCAGTTTCTTCTAAGCTTTGAAACAGAGTAGACATATTTTATAGCTGTATATTGGTGACAAATATGCTGTATTTGGTGACTATATTTTATATTTAGTGATATGTCTGTTAGAAAGAAGATTGATAGATATTCCTAGTGAGTCCGTTCCAATTAAAGATAATTATAATAAAGACATTTCTAGTTCTGAGAAAAAAATATGACAAAAAAATTCGTTATCGTTTAAGCGATACCGACCCATTTATTGTTTACATAGAATCTACTGATAAAAATGTTGGTAAATTACATCCAATTAGAGTTAGTGATTATTTACATTTAAAAAATAATTTCACAAATAGCATTGCTGAAATTAAATCTATTTGGAGAAATAAAATTAAAGTAATTTTAAATAATTACAGGAGACAGGGAGACGCGCTGGCGTGTCTCCTTTTCAACATAGCACTGGAAAAGGCGATCAGAGATGCCCGAATAGACAACAGAGGAAATATTTTTAATAAATGATCCCAAATTTTGGCATATGCAGATGATGTGGACCTAGTTGCCCGCACAACACACAAGCTAGAAGAAATGTATACCACCTTCTCAAATGCCTCAAAATCTATGGGCCTGCAAGTAAATGAGAAAACTAAGATGATGGTATCAACACCCAGCAATAGAGTCAGGAACATCGGTCCCCAATTCACGGTTGATAACTCTACCTTTGAAGTGGTGGACAAATTCACATACTTAGGCTCGCTGATCACCAAAGAGAACGCCATAACGGAAGAAATCAAGCGAAGGATAATAATGGCAAACAGATGCTATTTTGGACTGAGTAGACATATGAGAAGTAGAAACTTAAGCCAAAAAAACAAAAATAACCATATACAAAACCCTTATACAGCCAGTGTTGACATATGGATCAGAGACATGGACCATATCCAAGGCAGACGAAGACCTTCTGCTTATTTTTGAACGAAGGATCCTGAGAGGAATATTTGGTGGCATCTGTGAAACTGGTGTTTGGAGGAGGAGACACAACTACGAGGTATACCAGATATAAACAAATATTTGGTGGTAAAGACGTAGTATCTCTTATAAGAATAGGAAGACTAAGATTGGCAGGACATCTAGCAAGATCACAGCAGAACAACCCTCCTAGAAGAATCCTTATGTCACAACCCGTGGGAAGTAGAAAAAGGGGTAGGCCAAAACTCAGATGGAAGGATGGTGTAGATGAGAATGGTAGAAAGATAGGCGCAGCAAACTGGCAACGGTTGGCAATGGATAGGACTGCCTGGCGTAATAGACTTGGGAAGGTCGAGGCTCTTTCATAGGGCTGTAGCACCATTGATGATGATGAATTTTAAATGTCTTATTTGCTAATAATATTGTAAGTAGCGACTTTTTCGAAGCCAACAATTGCCTATGTCCCATAGTTGTGGAATGCCGTGGTTTAATTAGATCAGTTGATACAGTATTTAGCGAAGCATATCTAGAAGAAAAACTTAAATCTGAGAATCCAGATAGTAACATTAAAAACTAAAACGACTAAAGCGTAGAATCATTACAGAAACAAATGAAACTAATCTAGTAGATACACAACTTGTATGTAACATTCATCGGATCTTCTTTACCAAAGGAAGTCATAATCAATAATTGTATTTTATCGGTTGAACCTACAAATATCCTGTTATACAGTGTCAGACATGCTTAAGGTATGGACATATAACATAATGTAAAGGGAAAAAGCGCTGTAAAAACTGTGGTGGAAAATCATACTATTACTGATTGTTCTATGGTAACGAAATGTTTACATTGCTCAGACGCACTATCAAGAGAATGCTCAGAATACATTAAACAGCGTAAGATTAAGAAATCACAAAAAATATCTCGTTTCAGGAAGCTAAAAAAGTCTATAACAATCAAAGTTATTATTCAAACGTAATGACTAATAATAAATTCTCGTTGTTGGCTAATGAAGCAGTTTTCCTCCACTACCTTCTAGAAATGTCTAACAGCTCTGAATCGTTAAAAAAGAAAACTAGTTGAGAGCGATAATATTAATAATGAAAGAGTTAGAAAAATACGGCCAATTCTTCGATTTTACCAAATCCTTATAAGGACGAGTTCATGATGCACAAAGAAAAAATAGTTGAAGGCATTTGTAATATAATATTCATCTTTCTCTATGATATTTTAAATTGTAAGGACAGTTTACACAATGATCAAAATTTAATTACGAATTTAAATACGAAGATATATTTAACAAAATATACGAAACAGGCATAATACCAAATGATTGGCTGACATCGGTGTTTATACCACTATCAAAAAAGAGAAACTCCAAGAAATGTGAAGACCATAGGATTATTAGCCTGATGAATCATATGTTGAAGCTTTTCCTACGAGTAATACACAATAGAGTATACCATAAACTAGACGAACACACTGGTCAAACTCAGTTTGGTTTTAAGAATGGGTTCGGAACAAGAGAAGCACTTTTTTCAATACGTGTGCTAGTTGAGAGATGTCGATTCTGATGTATACTTGTGTTTTATAGACTTTCAGAAGGCGTTTGACCTGGTGAAACATGATAAACTAATAGATATTTTAAGGTCATGTAATATCGACGATAAAGACTTAAGGATCATTTCAAACCTTTACCAATAACAAAAGGCTAAAATCAGAATAAAAAGCGAAACATCTGGAAAAATCAATATCGAGAAGGGAGTAAGACAGGGATGTGTCCTATCCCCTTTGATGTTCAATGTTTACTCTGAGAAGATATTTCAGAAAGCTTTGGAAGGCACCTCGGATGGTATAATTATAAACGGGCAATGTATAAATAACCAGCGAGATGCTGATGACACTGTCATACTGGCAGATAGTGCTGAAGCCCTGCAACGCTTAATGGACCGAGTAACGACAGCCTGTAGAGGATTTGGAATGAAATTGAATACAAAGAAGACAAAAACGATAGTCATCAGCAAGCACCAAAACAGAAGGGTGAAGGTCAATGTCGGCGGAACAGATCTGGAAAGAGTAACAAGAACAACGTACCTTGGAAGTAATCTTGATGAAACTTGAGACCACTCACTAGAGATAAGAATACGCCTGGAAAAGGCACGTACAATGTTTTACAAAATGCAAAAAGTTCTATGCAACCGCCAGCTGGGTATCTCATTGAGAACTAGAATACTTAAGTGCTATGTTTTCTCCACCTTGCTCTATGGTGTTGAAGCCTGGACAATGACAGAAGCAACACAAAAAAGAATCCAAGCATTCGAACTCTGGTGTTACCGTAAAATGCTCAGAATATCCTACATGAGCCATACGACAAATGCGGAAGTCTTGCGGAGGATGAATAGGGAAAGAGAGGTTATGCTTATAATAAAAGAACGGAAATCAAAATATTTTGGTCACATCATAAGAAATCAAAATATGAACTGCTCCTAATCGAAGGCAAAGTCAATAGCAAAAGAGGACCAGGAAGAAGACGCAACTCTTGGCTTAAAAACCTACGGCAATGGACGAACATGACCTCCATAGAACTATTTAGGGCTGCTACAAATAAGATTAAATGGGCAAATGTAATGGTCAACGTCCTTAAGGATAAGGCACCGTAAGAAGAAGATTATTAAAATGGGAATGGTTTTTTAATTGGTGTTCTCCACTTGAAGGAGAGACGATATTGGGAGGCGACTTTAATGCCCATCATGCGGTGTAGGGTTATTCCAAGAATTATACTGATGGCAATAGGATAATTGAGGCACTAGCTGATATGAATTTAATAATTCTAAATGATGGTTCAACAACCAGAACTACTCAAAATCAGCTGTAGACTTAACGTTAGTAACTCCTGGATTAACTGCAGTAGCTCATTGGCAAACATTGGATCTGATCATTATATTATTTCCGTTAAATTAAATATTTATGTACCTTCTACCATTGTTTATCCAACGAGGAAATGAAGATTGGAGAAGGCCAACTGGGAATTATTACAGAGCATTCTTAAAATGGAACTAAAGAACGTTGTATACTCTGATAACAGTCATGAAATGGCACTTACTCTGGACAGAGCAATCAATACAAGCGCCAAGCATTCCTAAATATAGACAAAAATCGATTTGGTGGGATGATGAATGTGTCACATAGTTACAGCTTAAGAAGAATGCGCTTAACTTGTACAAAACCTCATCCACTCTGAATAACTTTCTCGAATATAGAAAGATAGAAGATACAACTAAAAAAAAGCACATGGATTCAATTTTGTTCCAGTCTTAACTATAGATGCCCATCACAACTCAAATATAGAAGATAGTATACAAATTGAACAACACGAACATTAAACATGCTCCCCTTCAGTTACGGAAGATATTCTAAAGAAGCTGTGTTCACGTTTTGTTGACAAACATACCTCATCCAGGTACACTTATAGAAGAAATAACATCATCCAAACTGGAATATGCTATTAAGATATCCAAAAATACAGACTCAGGTCCAGATCAGATTTCGTACTTATATTATGTTAAAAAAATAGGTATGCTGGCCAAAAGATTACTACTGCATATCGACATCTGATAATAAATCTCGAAACCCGAAGATTTTTAATTATCGAAACCAAATTCAGATTTTTGTTACTATTACTATTACTCATAAAGAAAGTATAATCTTTATGAGTACTCTGTATCTGATCCCGTACATCTGTCTTAATAGAAAGAGAAGATTTAGTTTCACAGCGACGAAGATATCTTCGTTCTATTAAAGAGGTTCGTTCTGCCCACAAAAATATTTATTATCGGAACGAAACGTGGGTATCTTGGGGACGTTTTATCAACAGGGTTACGAGGACCAACGGGTAAAGGGCAAAGACTGATTATCGCCCATATAGCTAGTGAGAGTGACTTTTTAGAAAAGAAAAAAAATGGGGGATTACCACGAAGACATGGACGCCCAACGCTCTGAAAAAAAGGTT